CTAAGATTTTCTTCCTACAACAAAAGCCAACCTTGTCCCCTTCTGTGCACGCTTAGGGCAGTCATTAATGAAGACAACTTTCAGAGCCGGGGAATACCCACGTGCCACAGAAAGGAAACAAACACGGTTATAATAAAACACATGCTTTTTTAGGTAGGAGGGCAGTGCCTAATGGAGAACTGCTGCCCTGTGGGATGGGGCTACCACACCGACTTGTCATTCACCAGGCCTCCCTGCTGCCTAGCACTGTGTCTAGCATGTAGTTGCTCAGTGAGCACTGACTTGAGGATGGCTGCAGGGTTGAAGAATGAAGTCAGTGCTGGGTGGGATGGCTGATGGTGTCAGGGGTATGATGAGGCTGGGGCCAGGCCCCCACAAGCCAAGCAATGCCTAGGCAGCAGAGGGGGTGTATGCTGGATAGCTTTAGTGTCAACTTGACGCACCTGGGTTGAGGGAGCCTCAACTGGGGAATTGCCTCCATTGAACTGGCCTGTGACCATGTCTGTGAGGCATCTCCTTGATTGTTGGATGATGTGGGAGGGCCCAGCCCACTGTGGGTGGTGCCACCCCTGGGCAGATGGGCCTGTGTTGCATAAGAAAGCAGGCTGAGCAGGGGCCAGAGAGCAAGCCAGTAAGCAGTGTTCCTCCATGGCCTGTGCTCCAGCTCCTTCTTCCAGGTTCCTGTCCTGAGGTCTTACCTTGGGCTCCCTGATGAACTGTGACCCAGGAGATATAAGATGAAATAAACCCTTTCCTCCCCAAATTGGTAGTGGTCAGAGTGTTTTGTCACAGCAATGAAGAAACAAACTAGAACAGAAATTGGTACCAGAGAGTGGGGTATTGATGTGACAGACTTGACCCGGTTGTTTTGGGGAGGATTGTGGAAGTGTTTGGAACTTTGGGCTGGAAAAGTCATTGAGTGCTCACAGGTTGTTGCTGTGGAGCTTGGAACAGTTCTGCTGAAAGAGTTTTAGACAGTGGAGGCCTGGCTTGTGAAGCTTCAAAGGGAAGTGGAGACTATCAGGGCTGTTCGTGTGATATTTTGAATTGAGCATCTGTGGGTTCTGGTCGGCCTGGGCTGAAGAATCAGCTATGATTAAGAGACCAGAACCTGAAGTAAAACCTTTGCTTTACTGGGACAATTGATGCTGGTTAACTGGGGCTGAAAAATCAGCTGTAAGTAACAAGAGACCAGCATCATTGATGAAGTCTTCTGGGAGGTCGCTTTGCACCCCGAGAGGCAAGAAGAGGCCATTGGTAAAGGTGTAGCCTCAGTTTCAGTGGAGACCCCAGCTTTTTGGAGATGCCAAGACTATGGGACGACCAAGGACAGCAGTAAGTGTGGAATGGAGCTGGCCTGGGTCTGCGAGATGAGCTGTGTGTGCTGTGGACGGCAGAGTCAGAGTGGAGCTGTCAGAACCCTTTGAAGCCCAGAAGACTGAGTGAATCCCAGATGCCCAGCGGTGTAGCCTCAGTTTCAGTGGAGACCCCAGCTTTTTGGAGATGCCAAGACTATGGGACGACCAAGGACAGCAGTAAGTGTGGAATGGAGCTGGCCTGGGTCTGCGAGATGAGCTGTGTGTGCTGTGGACGGCAGAGTCAGAGTGGAGCTGTCAGAACCCTTTGAAGCCCAGAAGACTGAGTGAATCCCAGATGCCCAGCCTTGAGCTACTTTGCTGGACTTAGGTTTTGCTTAGGTGCCCTATTCTTCCCTTTGAAATAAGACAGTACTTGTTTTGATTTTACAGGAGCCCCCAGTTAAGAGACTTTTAAAAGAGACTATGGACTTTTAAGTGTTTGGATTTTTTAAGGACTGTGGGTCTTTTAAGGTTGTACTGTCTTATGTTGTGATATTAATGTTAACATCATATCTTGGGGACAAGAATTGGAAAGGTTATGGTTTAATAGTGATGTGTTTGTATGTCAAGTTGACAAGGGGTCAATTGTGCTGGATAGTTTTAGTGTCAACTTGACACACCTGGGTTGAGGGAGCCTCAAATGGGGAGTTGCCTCCATTGGACTGGTCTGTGGTCAAGTCCATGGGGCACCTTCTTGATTGTTGAGTGATGTGGGAGGGCTCAGACCACTGTGGATGGAACCACCCCTGGGCAGGTGGGCCTGTGTTGCATAAGAAAGCAGGCTGAGCAGGGGCCAGGGGAGCAAGCCAGTAAGCAGCGTTCCTCCATGGCCTGTGCTCCAGCTCCTGCTTCCAGGTTCCTGCCCTGAGTTCCTACCTTGGGTTTCCTGATAAACTGTGACCCAGGAGATGTAAGTTGAATAAACCCTTTCCTTCCCAAGTCGGTAGTGGTCAGTGTTTTGTCACAGCGATGAGGAAACAAACCAGAACAGGTTGTGAGCACTTCTTCCATCAGAGTCTACCCTGCCAACCCCCTGTGCTGCCCCAGGCCTAGAGTGGCTCTGTCTTTTCTGCCTCCCCATCATCGCCCCACTCAGTGTCTAGCACAGAGTGAATGTTCAATGAATAGTCGTTGAACTTAGTGCCTCTCCAGTCAACCAACAATTACTGAGTGTCACAACCCTACCCTCCTCAGGTACGCCTCAGTGGGCACCCAGGGTGCCAGTGGGTGTCCCTTGCTGTGTGAATGCTTTGTTCCACAAAGGTTGTTGCAAATGGACCCAGTACCAATGGGCTTCCAATCCCTTGGGGCACTTGCTGGGATTCAAAGGAACTCCAAGAGTGAAATACGGCCCCTCCCGCCAGAACTGAACCGATACTGGCAGACAGCTAGGTCCCTTTGACAGGCATGACACGCAGCCCAGGGCCTCTGCGATTCCCATGTACACAGGGAATGAGCTACAACTGCTGGGACAGAGGTAGAGGCCCAGGTACCATGCTAGACCCTGGGGGCTGCCTGCTCAGGGAATCTGAAGTCACCAGGAGAAAGCAGAGGCAAGACGCAGTCATGGCCTTAGGCACACAACAGGCAGTGTAGAGCAAACAGTCACACAGGGGACCTCACTGTGCAGGAGCCGCCCCAGCTGGGCCACAGGTCCACTGGCAGCTGGGCTCCTGCAGGCCAGGTGCATCTGCACGACACAGCCACTTCCAGTCCATACCACCCACACACGTGGCTTGCCATAGGAATGCAGGGGAGGAGTGGTTTGACAGACCAGTCCTTGTCGCTGTGGGAGTAGCCAGAAGAGACACCCGACACTGCCTGCCTCACAGGACCACCATACTCAAGTGGCCCTAGGACCCGAGAGGAGACGAAAGCCACGTGCACAGGTCACGTAGCCTGGTGAGAGCAGAGGCAGTGCCTCGAGGGGCAACGCCTGCAGCAGGGTTTCTTGGTGCTGAGACAGGCAGGCCACAAGCTCCAGTGGGAGTTGCTGAGGGCACAGGCTGACCTCCCACAGGGGAGTCTGGCTATGGGCATGGAACCAGGCCTGCTGCCAGCAGAGGAAGGACCAGAAACTGGAAAACACTGCCCTGAGATTTCTCCAAATGCTTATTTTTGGTTCCCAGCTAATGTCATGGTGCCAAGATACCACACAAGGCGGGGAGGGCTGTGGCAGCCCCTGAGCTCTGCTCTGGGTGGGAGCCCCTACCACCCAAACTCAAGAATCATGAGGCACATTTGCATGCCTGGCAGGAGGCCTGGTCACCAGACATGGCCCCGCCCTATGACTGAGATGGCACCATGTGAGGTAGGGGTCTATGAGGCAGAGGGCTGGGGGATGGTGCGCAGTCACCCCCAGGAGGCATAGCCAGGCATACAGAGATCCCTACTTCCCTTCACCCCACCTGCAACTAGCCCCATCCCCCAAAGATCCTGCAGGAAACCCAGACCTGTGGGACTGTTCGATAAGCCCATCCACACTGACATGGGCCTTTACATGTGCTCTGAGATCCCAAGGGCCATCCCTGCCTCTGCTTAAAAGATCCAGAACCAGCCTCTGCTTCCAGTTAGTCTTTAACATGTCACAATGTCTGATGTCTATGTCGCCACTCCCCCCTCCCCTGTGAAGCACTTCCAATGTATAGTGGAGGGAGGGTAGGATTGAGCCAGGGATGTTTACTGAGTCACCTGGGGGTGACTGCTGTCCAGGCAAAGTACTCATGCATGCCCGGTTCCTAATGACCCAAGAGTCAGCTTTGCAGAGATGGCCTACATTACAAGCTCGTCATCAGTGAGTCTAGGTTTGACTCAGGGTCTGCATCACCATGATGCCAGGGGCCGTCTTAGCTTTTTTGCACCACATTTATTCCCATGGTCTTCACTTCCAACCACAGCCCCAGCTACAGAGAATAGTCAGCTGCCTGGCTTAGACTGGAGGCTGCTTCTGGGAGAGCCTGTGTGTGCCTGCAGCCTGCTTGGTTGGCTCTGCCTATGACTTAGAGCATTTCACAGTGAACAACATGATCAGGAGTTTCCTCCACACTTGAGAATCACCCCCAATTCAGGTTTCACGACACCCCCCAAGGTCAGGTAGACATCAGCTTTGTCACCTGTGAAGTCAGGTCATATAGCCTAGGAATCTCCAAGGGCCTTGTTCAGGATGTCATGGGACATGGGGACAGTGCCTTGCTACCAGTTCCAGGTCTGGACTTGCCTCTGGTCCATGCTCACATCTGCTTCTAGGGATATGGGCCCTGAGAGCTCAGGAGCCCCTGGCTCTCTGTTTTCCTGACAGCTCCAAGAGAGCCACCAGGGAGCGCTATGTACACACTGGCTGGTCATGTTACTGCAGGGCGGTGGCCAGCAGCCAGGATGAAGACTGGACCTGGTTTGACTCACATTGGATTGCATACTCTTTACAGTATTTTTGGTTTTATTTTTATTTTTTGAGACAGGGTCTCACTCTGTAGGTCAAGCTGGACTCAAACTCGTAACAATCCTCCTGCCTCAGTCTCCCAAGGCCTAGGATTACATGCCTAGCTCTTGCTCATAGGTTTTTAAGGAGCAAGGCTGAGATTTGGGGGCTCAGTTGGGGCCCTGCACTGGTAGCCTTCTGTGCACATCAGAAGAGCCACTCACGTGAGTAGAGGTTGTCTCCTGGCATCCTCTGGAGAGGGTCTCGCTCAGCTCCACTGCTGAGGGACAGAGACTGGCTGTCTAGGTCTGGGGAGTTAGTCCTGGTATCTGCGTCCCCCTTGAGAAGCAGCCAGGTGGTCTTCTGCAGAGGAACAGAAGGTTGTGGGAACACTGAGCTCATCTGCAATGGTGGAAACTTTCCATTAGCTTCTGTATTTCTAACCACAAGCTGAGCCCAACATGAGAACAAACTCCCTATATGAAAATTCCAGCTTTTCACAAAACCAGCCTTCCCATCATTCACAGGCTCTGCAAGTTCAGGAAACAGCAGGACAACAGTGTCACCTCATTTTACAGACCAGGCAACTGAGGCTCTTGGAGGTGAGGGCCTGTTACCTTCACCCAGGAGAACAAGGTGAGGCTGCCCAAGTCTAGCCCAGGGTTCTCTCCCCTCACCTGCATGCCTTCCTTAAAGACTGGAGAGATTGGGAGACACATGGGCCAAATGCTGCTCACAGCCTGCCGTGGTGATAGCCATTCATGTACACGTCCTCTCTGATGGCTTTCAGAGGACAGCTGCATTACAAAGGTCTGCCAGCAAGGCCTACCCTCTACCCTCTGGCCCTTTAAATACTTGTTCATATCTCCTCAGTCACAGAACTATAACCAGGACTCATGACACAGAGCCAGGACACTGGCAGAGCTGATACTCATTCTGAGTGTGGGAAGGAAGCTGGTGGGTATGGCTTCCACCTCAGGCCTTGTAGGACCCCAGGAAGCAGACTGATAGGAGGTGGAGATCTGATTGGAACAGCTATCCCACCCTGCAGAGCCACAGTGCCCCTTATTACCTTCCTGCTATCCTGGTGGAAACTGCTGTCCTCCCCATCCACTCGCCTTGCAGCTGGAAGGGAAAAATCGGTTTGTAAGGGCAGCACAAACCCTCTATGTATTCTATGGTTCTTACTTTACATAATGCTCAAAGATGGGGGTGGGAGGAGGTCAACAGAATGAATCCTTCTTAAGGACCAAGGGTAAGACAAGCTGGAGCAGGCTCCTTGGGGGACACGGCCCTGGGAGTGGGCACTGCCCTGAGCAGGGGCAGCACAGACACCCCACTTCAGCTCCAGCCACAGTTCCGCCCAGGGGAAATGGAGCTATATTTCCAGGTATAGACACTTGGCATTTGAAGGACACATTTTCAACTTTGGGAGGGAGGCCACTGAAGGGACAGGTCTCAGACTCAGAGGCCTGGGTGTCAGACGCAGCTCCATGCTTCTCATCCAGCACTGCCTCTCTCCCACCCCAAACCCTTCAGGGAGGGGCTTTGCCCCATTTCACAGATGGGGCACCGAGGCTCCAGAGGTACCTTGCTGGAGGTCATGAGCTAGCAGGACACCAGGGGAGGGCAGAGTGATACGAGCCAGGTGGTCTAAGTCCAAAGTCCCTCCCCTGCCTCTCCTTCCATGCTGCCTGCTTCCAGCCCAGGCCGAGAAGAGCTCATGGGGAACAGCAAAGAATGACAGTACACACCCAGAGCAGTAGTTCACACCACAGCCGTGCATTACCAAGAACGTTCCTGGCAGCACTGTCACCCAGTTGGGCTGACCCTTGTTTCCAACAAAGACTGAACAAAGAAGCCATGCCAGGCATGCTGGTGTTTCTCAGTACCCACTCAGCGCAGGGACAAGACACCAACCCCGTGCACACAGCAACTGCTGGAGACCCCAGGATCCTTCCCTGCCAGGGGCTCAGCTCGGGGAGGGTGGCCAGGCGGGCTTCTTACCTGTAGCCTGTGGTGGGCTCAGCCCTGCCAGTCTCTTGGAGCGCCCTGCCTCCTGCACCACCAAGGACAAAACTGACACCAGGCCAGAGAGCTTGGACATTGGGGACTGGGCTACAGGACCTTGACAAGATAGGGCCAAAATGGAAGACTGAGCACTTTCGTCCTGACATGTGGATGCTGTGTTACCCCTGATGGCTGTCTGTTTCTCCCGCTGGGAAAGACTGATGCTTTTCAGGCAAAAATAAATCCCTTGCTCTCTCCACCCATAGAGGCAAGTTAACTAAGGACCTGCTGGGGAGGCTGTGATGAAGGGTCTCAGAGGGGTAGGCAGTGCAGCTCCTGTTGCCCAGACAACAGCGGTTGCTGGGCAGCAGAGCCAAGTGTGCCTGTCCACCAGTACCAATTCCTGGCAGCTGACCAGCAGGGCCCAGGGACAAGCATGCTGTGACCACTCAGAGCTCTGAGAGCTCTGCCACTGTCTGTACCAATCACTCTAGCCCAGGGGCTCTTCAGGATGTGAAATCCCAGCCTGGGAACTCGGGCTGTGGGGCCTGGGAGCTTTCCAGCTTCCACAATTTCATATAACCATAGGCAACACACTAGCTAGACACATTGTAACATGGAGCTATCTCCATGCTAAGAGGGACATTCTTCACAGACTTAACAAGTCCCCTGTACAAACACCACCAGCTGTGACATGAGGGCAGTCAGCCAGCCTAGTTCTTCAGCCCACAGAACCCTGACAGGCTGTCCTCAGGACTAGGAGCTCCTAGGAAGGCCCAGGAGACTAGCATTTTGCATTGTTGGTAGGCTGCTTCCATAAAAACTCTGAGCCTCAGCTTCCTAGTCTGTAAAACTGGCAAATGCCACTCTACCCCTTTGATTCATGAGAATCATAAGAAATGGGTATGTGGAGTCCAGCTCATAGGTCTGAAATGTTAGGGGCTCACAAGAAGCCAACTTGAAGGCTAATTTATGGTTTCAGGAAAAGAAAGATCAATTCAGAACAATCAGAAAAAGAGAATTTAGTCTGTTTTTGTGTCACCCATGGCAGATCCTCCACAGCCCAGGAAAGAAAGTACTGCTGTGCGGAGCAGTCCCGGACGGCCTGACTTCAGGCTCTCCATGCCCCTTGGGGAATCTGGTGAGAGGTCCCTAATCCCTTTTCTGTGTTAGAGCACCAGTTCTGTCCTCCTTTCCACACTCCATCTTAACTCATTCACGTCTGAACATTCTTGTGTACATGTATGTGTCCAACGCTCATTCATTTCTATGTACTTACTTTATTAACTTGTCATCCACCCACCCATCTGTTCATCCATGCATCCACCCACTAACCATCCATCCATCTGTTCATACACCCATTCACTAACCATCCATCCATCCTTCCATCCATCCATCCATCCACCCACCAATCACTCATTCATCCATTTGTCCACTCACCCACCCATCCACTGAACCATCCATCCATCTATCTTCCAGGCATCCACTAATCAATCCACTCATCCACCCACCAATCACTCATTCATCCATTTGTCCACTCACCCACCCATCCACTGAACCATCCATCCATCTATCTTCCAGGCATCCACTAATCAATCCACTCATCCACCCACCAATCACTCATTCATCCATTTGTCCACTCACCCACCCATCCACTGAACCATCCATCCATCTATCTTCCAGGCATCCACTAATCAATCCACTCATCCACCCACCAATCACTCATTCATCCATTTGTCCACTCACCCACCCATCCACTGAACCATCCATCCATCTATCTTCCAGGCATCCACTAATCAATCCACTCATCCACCCTGTATCCACAGCTTTCCACTTATTCACTCAACCCCCACCTAGTCATCCTTCTCTTTGTCTTCTTCAATCTATTCCATTGTCCACCAAGGCATCCATTGAACTACAGCCCTTTCCCTGTCCACCTGCCCCCTTAACCCCATTGGACCTATTTTCCACTCAGCCCTTCAGCCTTCATCCCTTCCTCTCACCCACTGCCCAGTGTGCACTTTCCCTGTCCAAGCACAGGGACATGAGAAACCTCAGACACAACCCTTTTCCTTCAGAAGTCCCTAAGTCAATGAAGTGGAGAAAGCTTGTAGGTATTGTAACAAGTGCCATGATAGGGAACAGTCAGCTCAGAGGAGCTCCCCAAGAAGTGTAAGTAATGAGCACTTGCTGAATGCCTGCTCATGGGACAAGCCCTGTTCCAGGATCTGGGTAAGCATGTGCTAAGAGCACAGGCAGGTAGGAACAGCAGTGTGAGCTACATTCACACAGGAGGAGGCCAAGTCCCAGAGTGAGCCACAGGGCTGGTGGTGGCTCTGGCTAGCTGCCCTGCCACCTCAGCTGACTATTCTCCCTGCATCATGTATAAATTAAGGGACACGGCTGAGCCACCCCAGCTTTGCTCACAGGGACCTGTGCACAAATCTGCCTCCCCACTGAGCAACTGGTAGGAAATGCTCAAGGTCAAGCTGTATCTGATGTGCCTGGTGCCTCCTCGGGTGCCTCACACAGTGACCTGCACAGACACATGACACAGAGTACACAAGAAGTAGACAGATGCAGGTCAGTGGGCCAAGGACTTCCCCAAGAACCACACTTGGTGGCACCGACATGCCAAAGCTCTGGCCTACAGGGTTCCTTTGCTGGTGTCCAATGGGGCAGTGAGGCCATCGAGCCACTCTAGCCTCTGTTCTGGGTACACAGGGTGGTCTGTGGCCATTAGGTAGTTTTAGTTGTGGTCCTTGCTAGAGCTGTCTGCCACCAGTTCAGTCACTTCTGCCAAGGTCTGTGGGTGTGCAAGGCAACAGGCTCTGACAGTTGGACTCTGAACACGCCTGGCTGGTACTCTCTCCAACAGGAGGAGGAGTTTCTGGAAACATAGGGATGTGTTCAGAGGCTTCACTGCCTCTCCTTGAACCCCAGAGCTCCAGTGGGGGGCTTGCTATAGACTGGGTTTCTGATTACCAGACCTATGGGCAAGAGCTCTTGTTCTGCCCAGCGTGTGCCAACCTATACAGTTCAAATTGGATCAGAATTATATTGCGAGAGAATGAATATGGGTGGGTGGGTGTGTGTCTGTCTGTCTGTGTGTCTGTGTCTGTGGGTGTATTGGGGGGCAATTCCATGAGACTGCTTCACAAGTCAGGGTTATGCTTGGTCATCCCTATCTCCAGCCAGAGACAGTGCAGAGCATATAGTAGGTGCTCAAAAAAACACCCCTTGGGTAAATTAGTGAAAGCCCCTCACATCTCTTGGCACTCGGCTTCCTGTCCACAAAGTTGGGAGAATGACATCTGCTTGCTGACTGTCCCAGAAAGGACACAGAGCCTGCACCTTTGCCTCCCACTCCTCTCCCTCCCACTCCCCTGCCCCCAGAGAAAAGGAGCTCAGTGTGTCCTTCAAACCACACAGAGAAGCTCCTCTGAGCCCCACAGGCTTCTGCCCCAAAGCCCTCTCTAGAAAGTTGACGTCCCACTCCACCTGTGTCCCATGTCCCTGGGGAACCTGTGCGGGAGGAGCCCAGTGAGAGTGTAAGGTGAACAGACAGCCTGTGTGGTGTGAGGTCTCTGATGTTCTTTGTAGACATAGAGCCTTCCTGGCCACCTGGATTTTCCTCATATCCCAGAAAAGGACCCCAAACTAAAGGGAGAGTCAACTCTGAAAAATGAACCCCACAGGGCACTAATTCCTAAGTGACTAATTCCTGTTCACCCAGGAACCAGAGGTACTTTCTCTGCCACACTGGGATGGGTGGCTCTGAGAAGGCAGGTGGCCAGATGAGCATCCTCCTGAATGCAGTGCTGCAGGGGCACTTTTCCCTGCTAGGTCCTTGACACTCACTCACTCGGGATCACACTTGCTTAGATAAGATCAAACAAATTCAAACTTGGTGCAACACCAGGCCTGCCCCAGCCCTGCATCTAGACAGTTGAACTTCCTGGGAAATCTCGGGGAAAGAACTTTTTTATTTTCTTATGAAGTCACCGTAAACAGCCATGATGGTTAGTGCTGACTGTCAATTTGACAGGATCTAGAATCAGCTATAAAGCTTCCTGTGAGGGATTTCTTAGCCCCTGGGCATGCCTGCCAGGGATGATGCAGACTGGATTCACTGAGATGTGAAGACCCATCCTAAAAGTAGGTGGACTGGGACCAGAGCAATGCTCAGCGGTTAAGAGCACCAGGTGCTCTTGCAGAGGACCTGGGTTCAGTTCCCAGCATCCACATGGTGGCTGACAACCATCTGTAACTCCAGTTCCAGAGGATCTGATGCTTTCTTCTGACCTCTGCGGGCATTGCACAATATGGGTGCACTTACACACATGCAGGCAATACATTCATACACATAAAAATAATAAATAAAATCTATTTTTTAAAGCCGGTGGACCACTCCCTGGGCTGTATAAAATGGAGAGAGAACACCTGCTTCCATCCCTTTCCCTTTCTCCTTCCTGACTGGGGCTGTGGTGTGACCAACTGCTTCCAGCTCCTGCTGCCCTGACTTCCTGCCAGGACAGACTGTACCTTGAACAGTGAGCTGAATAAACCTTTTTTTCCCTTCAGGTGCTTTTTGTCAGGAAAAGAAACTAAGAGGACCATCTAAACATTGACACCATTGAGGGACGCCTACAGGAAGTCTCCTCTGTATAAGCATCTCTGTCATTTTCAGAAACTGCCAGAAAGCATGAGGAGGGACAAGGCTGGCTTCCTGTATTCTGGAGGGAGCAGACCCCCACCCTCAGGAAAGAAGTGTTTGTTCCCTGCTTTGTAGCTAGTATGGAGGGCTACGGTTTGCCCCGCGTCTGCCTCCCAAAGTGATGTGATTGGATGCTGCATGTGTGTGTGTATATACAGGTGTGTGTGTGTGCAGGTGTGTGTATGCAGGTATGTGTTTGCAGATGTATATGTATGTGAGTATATGCAGGTATGTACTTGTGCAGGTGTATGTGCAGGTGTGCATGTATGTGAGTATATGCAGGTATGTGTGCGGGTGTGTATGTATACAGGTTTGTCTCCAACAGCTGCCAAGCCCCCTGTGCCACCTCCTACCTGGCCTGCACTGCAGACCCTGCTCTATGGGATGTCAGGTGGCACAGGGAGGCCCCGGTCCTCTCAGCCCTGACACCCCATGGGATGTCAGGAGGCACGGGGGGCTCCTGTCCTCTCAGCCCGGACCCCCCCCTTTCTGTCATTCCCACTTTGCTTCCTTTCTTTTCTCCTCTTTAAAACAAGCAATAATTGCACGACACGGGTGCACTTACCCACACACAGGCAATACACGCATATACATAAAATAAAAATAATAAATAAAATATTAAAAAAAGAAAATATTCTAAAAAAAAAAAAACAAAAAACAAGCAATGAACAAAAAGCAGGTAGAGCTGGAATTGGAACAGAAATACTGTTGGCCCCAGAATGGAGTCAAATGATAGCAGCTGGTAACAAGGTCAGAGGTCAGAAGACCAGCTGTGAACGCCAGCCTGGATGGTCTCCTTCACCTCCCCAGCCACAGCTTCCCTGTACTGACCCAGCAGCATAGGGAGCCAGGGCGGCAAGCCAGCACCACTGTTTACCCAGTGCCCAGCAGCAGCCGCAGGTTAAATGACTGCTCCGTGGATGCCAACCCTCTTGTCCTCCACACTGAATGTCACTGCTGCCCAGTGGGCCCAGAGGCCTGGCTACCCTCACAGCTGGAGACTCATTTCCCAGAAGCAGGAATGGGACCCGGGCATTGGGGGAAGTAACAATCATGAAAGACAGCAGTGATCGTGCCCAGTGGCTGCAATGGAATGTTGCAAAGCAAACGTATCGGGGAAAAGCCTTGACTGCTTTTAGCTTGCGGAGTATATGATCTTAGGCTAATGAAATGATCCTGTAATTCACCATCATCCCCAGGGCCTGTTTCAGGCTGGTGTGAGGGTTAAAACTGTTCATACCCAGATCAAGCTCCAGGCTCCTCAGGGAAGGCTGGTGGTCAGGCTGCCCTGATGGAGTAGGGGAGGGAAGATTGGGGGAAGCTGCATGTGGTCCCAAGCACACATACATGCACACATACACACATGCATGAACACGCACAGGCATGCACACACATGCCCACACTCTCACCAGGCTGCGATCCACCTGGTGGGAGAAGTCTTGAGAATGCCAAATGTCTGTATTTCTTAAGGGTTTCTAAGGAAGCCTGCTTAGGAGAGCTTGTACTCCTGCTGAAGCATCAGTGTATGTCTAGTCATGTGGGATTTGCACAGCCCACTGCAATGGTAAGTCTACACAGTGAGTCAGATACTACTCACCAATCTCACAAGGTGGTTCCTTATCGGTGCCCCTTGCCAGGGTCAACTCTGCACGGACTGTGGGTGTTAACCATACCTCTAAGATGCCAAGTGGGGATAAAGAGCTGTTGTGGGTTAATAAAGGTCCTGTGAGTCAATCTCTGTCCTGGGCTCCTTGGAGCCCAGAACCATGGCCTCCTTGCAAGCTGTCTAGCACAGTGCTTGCCGCAAGGGCCATCTCGTGGGGTAATTCTCTGGCTGGGCCTTGGTTTATCTACTTGTAAGACTAGGGGGCTAGTCTTGACAAAAGATGGTGGCGTCTAACTGGCCCCTCCCCCATTCCGTGGGAAGACATGTGCTCTAGACTTAGACTCTAGAAGGCCAGGACTTTAATTCCCTTCTTTCCTTTTGGGGAGAAGAAATGTACAAAGCTCAGGCCTCTCACCACCGAGAAGGAGTAAACTCCAACACACCGCAGGTCGCAGAGCCAGACCTCAGATCCACAGGGTACCAACATCAGTGTGGGTACTGACAGACAGGGTACCACCGTCAGTGTGGGTACTGACAGACAGGGTACCACCGTCAGTGTGGGTACTGACAGACAGGGTACCACCGTCAGTGTGGGTACTGACAGGGTACCACTGTCAGTGTGGACCGATGGAGCTTTCCTTGGGTGCATCTGGACAATAGTTGTTCATGCAAGACTCTCTTCCTGCCTCTAGTGACTGGGTAAAAGTCCCCACCACAGGCACTGTCCTTTACAGTTTAGAACTGTCTCCACACTCACTGTTCAGTGAGCATCTCATGGTCAGCCTGGGGAGGGAGAGGAAGTGGGGAGGGGAAGGGGGAGGGAGGGAAAAACAGGGGAAAGGAGGAGGAAAGGGATAAGGAGAGAGGGGAGGGGAGAGGGGAAGAAGAGAGGGAAGGGGAATGGGAGGGGGA